TTGCCACGTTACACTGGATTTAATAATTTATTTCCAAATATCCTAGCAACAACGACTGCACCTCATCGCCCGCCAACTAACAACCCATTCAAACCTATAAGAATAGGGAAAATGGTGAGTATATGAGAATATTCAGTAGGACACGAATAACAGCGCAATCCCGAATAAAAGTATTTATATCATGCGTCAGAAATATCATACCGTCATATCATATCTAAGAAACTAGTGGAGCTCAATACATATAATATCTTTGGTATCGGATGGCCATATCATATCATAATTATATCATATCATAACTTTCATGAGTATACTATTCATCAACATGAAAAAATAAATTTAAACGGTAATGATCACTTACACCTCTAAATCCTACCTTGATTGATAAAAAGGATTTAAATAATTTTCATGTTCCACAATTTTTCCTCTGCTGCTACTGTGTGTATTCACGTGATTGATATAGTAAAATATATCATAATTCTTTTGGGACAGTAATCAACTAATCATTCCTTGAACCTTATGAGTTGTACATTTAACCAAACCTATCATATCTTATACTCACGCGTTTTACAAGAAATTGGCCAAATCAGTACTATTACCTTTTTATCATTATATATATAATTTCCTATCAAATCTAATTTCACAAGTCTTCCAAGAAATTTGGCCCAAATCTCTCCAATTGTTACCATATTCACACGTTTTCCAAGAATGTGCCCAATCACTAACTATTAACTTTTTTTATAATAATAATATACACATGTGACGTGCTGGGTGGCCAAACATTTGAAATTAAAAGTAACCAAATTAAGTTATAATAAACGATAACTTGTTTGAACTTTAATATCTTGGATCTAATTTATTCAAATTAACTTTTTTCGAGCCTAATATACATAATTAATTACGAGCTATATAACGAGTCCAATATAGATATATTTATCGTTACTCTATCAATATTTATATATTTGACCCATATACGAATTTAAAACCCATTTCATTTTAGTCCTTATTTTTTTTTTCAAAATATAAAAATGTAACATATAACAATAAATACATTTTTATTCTAAAATTTTCGGGGCGTCACAAGTGATTACCAATATCTCTGATTCCAATAATTCTTCCTTTAGCTTTATCTCCGAATGTCACATGACCTCCATTCTTTTCTTTAAATTTTGAGGTAATTGTCTATCTCCGATCATGTGTTTTGAACATCCACTATCCAAGAACCATTTGCTTTTTACTTTCTTTGATTCCTATAAAGATCATTCAATTTTTTATTTTTGATACACATACAAACTTGGGTTCTTGGTAGTTAGTATTAGTGGACTCTTGAATCCACTTATATTTTCTTTCAAAGTATAACTTCTTTTTAGTTAAGCAATTGAATGCAACATGTCCATTTTTTATTACAAAAACTATATGTAATTTTTGAAGTAGAAGAATTTGAAGGTTTAATGAATATATTTTCAAAAGACTCTTGTTTCAAGAAGGATTTGTATCCAATTCCTCCTTTATCAAAAATACATTTTAGATTACCAAGCATTAAATCAAAATTCTTCTTTCCTTGAGAAAATTTATAAATGATTTTTGTCAAGTCCTCAATCTTTTCCTCAATCTTTTCTTTTAAAAGAGAACTTTCTTTGATCAACAAATCGTGATTGAAATTTTCTTTTTATTTTTCCGAAATTTTCTTTATTTCTTATTTTAATGAAGCATTTTTCTTTTTAAGAATAGAGTAACTTAATGCAAGTTTTTCAAATTCTTCAAGAATTTCATCGTAGTAAGTAGACAATTCATCATATGAACATTTATCAATAGAATTTATCTCATCTTCAATGGCCATGAAGTACATGTTGGCAATTTCATCTTGGCTATTATATTTGTTTTGATCATCATCATCATCATCATCACTTTCATCCAATGTAGCTTGTAATGCCTTTTTTGTGATGTTCTTCCTTTTGTTTGGGCACTCGGTTCTTTTGTAGCCGGGTTTATCACAATCATAGCATAAGATTTTCTTGCTTTTCTCTTCAAATTTTTCATTCTTCTTTTGATATTTTTGATTGTTTCGAAAGCCCCTCCACTTTTTGACAAGAAGAACCAAGTCGCCAAGTTATTCATCACTCATATTGTCAGTTGTTGTTCCTTCTTCAATTGTCGATTTTAAAGTAATTTGACATTTGGGTTCCTTTGATTCTTCTTTCTTCTCCTTGACCTCAACATTGTTGAGCTCATAAGTCATTAATGTTCCATTGATTTTTTCCGAAGGATATGTATTTATATCTTTGGTATTTTCTATCAACATTCTCAATGGGCTCAAATCTTTCGATAATGACCTAAGCATTTTACTTACAAGTTCACCGTTAGTAAATTTATGATCAAAACCTTTCAGACAATTTACAATATCAGTAAATCGAGTAATCATATCAATAATGGGTTCATTTTGTTTCATGAAGAAATTTTCAAACTCCTTAACTAAGGGATTAATCTTTGTTTCTTTGACTTTGCTAGTGCCCACATGAGTGACTTCTAACGCATGCCAAATATCTTATGCGGAGTCACATGTGCTAATGCGATTGAATTCATTTTTGTCTAATGCACAATAAAGAAGATTCTTCACTTTTGCATTTAAGGATAATTTTCTCTTATCTTCTTCATCATATTCTTCCCTAGGTTTGGGAATGACTTGGT